GGGCAGGGGGCCCGGGTGGTGCTGCTGGACCTGGGCACCTCGGAGGGGGGAAAAGTGGCCGCGGAGCTGGGCGAGAGCTGCGCCTTCGCCCCCGCCGATGTGAGCAGCCCTGGGGGGGTTATGGGGTGAGGGGGGGGCTGTCTGGGTTGGGTGGTCTTGGGTTTGGGGTCCACATCAATGTGGGGTTCACCTCAGTGTGGGGTTCACCTGGGTTTGGGGTCCACATCAATGTGAGGTTCACCTTGTGGAGTTCACTTGGGTTTGGGGTTCACTTGGGTTTGGGGTCCACATCAATGTGGGGTTCACCTCAGTGTGGGGTTCACCTGGGTTTGGGGTCCCCATCAATGTGGGGTTCATTTGGGTTTGGGGTTCACTTGGGTTTGGGATCCACATCATTGTGGGGTTCACCTCAGTGTGGGGTTCCCCTGGGTTTGGGGTCCCCATCAACGCGGGGCTCACTTGGGTTTGGGGTCCCCATCAACGTGGGGTTCACCTCATTGTGGGGTTCACTTGGGTTTGGGGTCCACCTCATTGTGGGGTTCACCTCATTGTGGGTTTCGCTTGGATTTGGGGTTGACATCAACGTGGGGTTCACCTCAATGTGGGGTTCACTTGGGTTTGGGGTTCACTTGGGTGTGGGGTTCACATCATTGTGGGGTTCATTTGGGTTTGGGGTTCACCTCAATGTGGGGTTCATTTGGGTTTGGGGTCCCCATCAACATGGGGTTCACCTCAATGTGGAGTTCACTTGGATTTGGGGTTCACCTGGGTTTGGGGTTCACATCATTGTGGGGTTCACCTCAGTGTGGAGTTCACCTCAATATGGGGTTCACTTGGGTTTGGGGTTCACCTCATTGTGGGGTTCGCTTGGATTTGGGGTGCACCTGGGTTTGGGGTCCACATTAATGTGGGGTTCACTTGGGTTTGGGGTTCACCTCAATGTGGGGTTCATTTGGGTTTGGGGTTCACTTGGGTTTGGGGTCCACATTAATGTGCGGTTCACTTGGGTTTGGGGTTCATCTCAATGTGGGGTTCATTTGGGTTTGGGGTTCACTTGGGTTTGGGGTCCACATTAATGTGCGGTTCACTTGGGTTTGGGGTTCATCTCAATGTGGGGTTCATTTGGGTTTGGGGTTCACTTGGGTTTGGGGTCCACATCAATGTGGGGTTCATCTCATTGTGGGGTTCATCTGGGTTTGGGGTTCACATCAATGTGGGGTTTGGGTTTGGGGTTCACATCAATGTGGAGTTTGCTTGAGTTTGGGGTTCACTTGGGTTTGGGGTCCACATCAACATGGGGTTCATCTCATTGTGGGGTTCCCCTGGGTTTGGGGTTCACTTGGGTTTGGAGTCCACATCAATGTGGGGTTCACTTCATTGTGGGGTTCACTTGGGTTTGGGGTCCACATCAATGTGGGGTTCACCTCATTGTGGGTTTTGCTTGGATTTGGGATTCACCTCAGTGTGGGGTTCGCTTGGGTTTGGGGTCCACATCAATGTGGGGTTCACCTGGGTTTGGGGTTCACTTGGGTTTGGGATCTACATCAATGTGGGGTTCACCTCATTGTGGGGTTCCCCTGGGTTTGGGGTTCACCTGGGTTTGGGGTCCACATCAGCGTGGGGTTCACTTGGGTTTGGGGTTCACCTCAATGTGGGGTTCACCTGGGTTTGGGGTTCACCTCATTGTAGGGTTCACTTGGGTTTGGGGTCCACATCAATGTGGGGTTCACCTCAGTGTGAGATTCACTTGGGTTTGGGGTTCACTTCATTCTGGGGTTTACTTGGATTTGGGGTCCACCTGGGTTTGGGGTCCACATTAATGTGGGGTTCACCTCAATGTGGGGTTCACTTCATTGTGGGGTTCACCTGGGTTTGGGGTCCTCAGCAACATGGGGTTCACATCAGTGTGGGGTTCACATCAGTGTGGGGTTCACATCAGTGTGGGGTTCACTTTATTGTGGGGTTCACCTCAGTGTGGGGTTCACCTGGGTTTGGGGTTCACCTCAATGTGGGGTTCATTTGGGTTTGGGGTTCACTTGGGTTTGGGGTCCACATCAATGTGGGGTTCACCTGGGTTTGGGGTTCACCTCAATGTGGGGCTCACTTGGGTTTGGGGTCCACCTCATTGTGGGGTTCACCTCATTGTGGGTTTCGCTTGGATTTGGGGTTGACATCAACGTAGGGTTCACCTCAATGTGGGGTTCACTTGGGTTTGGGGTTCACTTGGGTGTGGGGTTCATTTGGGTTTGGGGTCCACCTTGATTTGGGGTCCACCTCAGTGTGGGGTTCACCTCAATGTGGGGTTCATGTGGGTTTTGGGGTCCACCTGGACCCATAGGTGACATCCACTTTGATATGGGGTCCATCTGAATGTGGGGTTCACCTCAATTTGGGGACCACCTCAATGTGGTGTCCCCCTCTCCCCACAGGTGACGTCCCCCGAGGAGGTGGAGGCGGCGCTGGCGCTGGCGCAGAAGGAGTTTGGGCGGCTGGACCTGGCGGTGAACTGCGCCGGCGTGGGCATCGCCGTCAAGACCTACAACAGCAAGAAGGACCGGGTGCACGGGCTGGAGGACTTCCAGAGGGTGGTCAACGTGAGT